TTTTTAAGACTTTCGGGAATTGCTGGCACTCCCTGGGTTCACTGCACCAGATGCAGTGTGACCGGGAATCTACGCTGCATATGAAAAGGTCACTTACCCTGTTCAAGAGAAGAGATTCTAACACTTGTCAGTTTGAGTGATGGAGACTCTGCATTGAGAGCCATAATATTCATGTCAGAGAATTGCCAAGCCCATGCGGAAGTGTTGAAGATGGATGGCCTGGGGATATACTCCTGACACTTTAATACGGGGGGAGGATACAGCACCAACATCTCATACAGAATTATAATCCATGAAAGGGCACTGGCAGCGTAAATTAAAGGTAATCCACCAGGCAAGGGGTTTAACAGCTGAAGCGCAGCAGGCAGGGGTAAAGGAGGGCTGAGGGAGGGATGCGGCCCTGCCCCTGTGGCGGGGGCTGCTCTGGGGCATCGGGGGAGAGAGCAGCCCCCAGCTGGGGTGGGAGCAGGGTGGGAAGGAGCAGCTCTGGGCCAGAATCTGGCCATCTCCAAACTGCTTTGCAGAGACCATCTGCAGAGCCTGCGCTTTGTGAATGGAATAAAGTCGATTCTCAGCTTGCTGATGGTCGCCATACAGTGACAGGACCTGTCAGGGGAGGGGGCGGGGGCAGGTATTGCTCACTGTGGTACCTCAGCCCCTGAGCACCAGCGGCGGGGAGAGGCTGACGAGGCTCTCGGCAGATGACGGTGGTGTGAGTGCTCCATCAGAGCCGTCCCTGCGCTCTCTCCCGGGAGAGGGACCCAAAGCAGCACCACGGATCCAATTCCTGTGCTGGGAGACATCCCCAGCTTGTTTGTTGGGTCTGTGGGTCTCTGCTGCTGCGGCCCAGACAAACACGAACACCATCCTGCCTCGGTGTTCTGGGCCGCCCTGAGGACCTCCAGTCCCTCCCTGTCGATAGCAGCCCGGCGTGGCCCATGCCTGAACTTCACCTTTCCTCTACGCGGCGATGGAGGTGGCCCTGGCCAGCACCGGGCGTGGAGTCGTGCCCGTGGTGCTGCCTGAAGGGGAATCAGACTGCAGGGGCATTTCCACTTACAGAATCACAGAATCATCTCGGTTGGAAAAGCCCCTGCAGCTCCTCCAGTCCCACCATGACCCTCACCCTGACCCTTCCCAGCTCCCCCAGATCCCTCAGCGCTGGCCCAGCCCGACTCTTCAACCCCTCCAGGGATCCCGGGGACTCCCCCCTGCCCTGGGCAGCGCATCCCAACGCCCAACAGCCCCTTCTGCACAGAAATCCTTCCTCAGAGCCAGCCTGACCCTGCCCTGGGCAGCTTGAGGCCATTCCCTCGGGGCCTGGCGCTGGGGCCTTGGCTCCAGAGACTCATCCCCCCTCTCTGCCCCCTCCTGGCAGGGAGTTGCCGAGGGCCAGGAGGTCTCCCCTCAGCCTCCTCTGCTCCAGACTGAACCCCCCAGTTCCCCCAGCCGCTCCCCAGCAGACCTGTGCTCCAGACCCTGCCCCAGCTCCGTTGCCCTTCTCTGGCCACGCTCGAGTCACTCAATGGCCTTTTTGGGGTGAGGGGCCCAGAACTGAACCCAGGAATCGAGGGGTGGCCTCACCAGTGCCCAGCCCAGGGCTCAGACCCCTTCCCTGGCCCTGTGGCCATGGTGTTTCTGGGAAGAGGAAACAAGAAGAAAAGCTGGTGGCTGCTGCTCCCAGTGAGGGTGCTGCGACGTTGCCTGGATGTCAGCATGGCCCAGCCAAGAGGTGACAGGTGACATGGTGGCAGTGGTGATCCTGGTTAGGTGGGAAGGACTGGGAAAGCTTGCCTGCTTAGCCTGGGCTATTATCATGTTACAAATATCCCAGCATTGATTTTCTGAAACCCTATTAGCTGAGCAGGGACCTCTGACATAAACCTGCCCTGCTCTGTGCTAACCCTGGACTCTGTTATTTCTTCGTTTAGACTGTGTTTCCCATTCTCATTAAAAACAAAATATAAACATGTCCTTTCCCTCGATAAAGGCACAAATATGCTGCTGGGACAGTGGTGATTTCAGGCCAATGCGAGTGCTGTCTCGCAGGTTTCTTATCACACAGGTTACTCTGGCCGTGGCAGTGGCTGTGCCCTGCAAACAGTAGCTCCCACAAAGCCCGTTCCAACATGAAGGTGCTGCTCCAGGAGTGTCCAGGCAGCTCCACAACCCTGCCCAAAGCGTCCCTTTGGGGTGCCTGGTGGGATGTGCCTGTTCTGGGGGGTCCCCAACACCCCTTCCAGTGCCCCAGTGCTGTGAGGAGCCTTCGGGCTCCACAGGCAGAAGCAGCGCCCACAGCTCTTTGGGGGCAGGTGGCAGGATTTTGGGTTGAGTTCATACAGCACCCGGCTCAGATGAAGATTTTCACTTTTTCTATTTACTTTTACTGTGGAACAGCATTCAGGTTCCTCCCTGAGGTTTTACAGGGCCTGTCCATCCCTTCCTCCAAGCATGCAGTGAGTTACAGGTGGTTGGGATCAATGTCCCAAATTGGAGTTGACTTTGGGCAATCATGGGTAAAAACACTCAGGTTTGAGACATCATCAGTCCCTTTGGCTGTGGTTAGAGGATGAGCCTTTACAAATCAGCAGACAGTGGGACTTTGCTCTACTGTGTGTGGTAGCGTTTATTTTGAAAACTGCTCCGCGGGAGTTTGCTGCCCAGGTAAAATCACTGCTGAAATGATAAAACCAGCCTGATGGATTGTGTCCTGCAGGCAGTCTTGGAGTTTATTACCCTGTGCCACCCTGTGCATGGGGCGTTTCTGTGTATGTTATTACAGCAACAGAGTACCAGTGGGCAGGGGTAAAGGGGCTCCCTGACAGTGCCGTGATGGATTGAGATGATCCTGAATTTCTATTGTTTTGTAGTGAATGTAGTGAGAATTGATGACTGTTGTATCCAAGCAACAAGAGGGAAGGATGAGAGAGCTTCAGCTTTTCCAGGACTGTTATATCTCTGGCAAGGTGCAGCTTGAAGCTATAGAGTTGTTTTTTGTATTTGTTCAGACTTGGTATTATCTCTGCAAGCTACAAGAAGAGAATGGAAATTTGTATCATGGGATGGGACATAACTTTGTCTTGAGTTTGCTTCAATCTGCATTTGGTCTCTGGCTTTTGCATGGGATACGCTGGTTGCCTTAGATAGTCTGGGTGCCAAAAATGTAAATGGATTTAAAAAAGCAATTAGACAAATTCAATGAAGAACAGTTCATCTCCAGCATTTAAACGCAATGGAGTGGATACGAGTGCTGGCTCGGCAAGCCCCTGGCTGTGTGTCTGTGGGAGTGGAAGGGTTCAGCCCCAGTATCTCTGCTCTTCTCTGCAGCCCCATTTCCCCAGGATGGAGCCTGTGGGGGACACAGATCTGATCTGGTGCTATGGGCACCTGCAAGCCTATCACTTCTTATTTTCTGCAATAACATTAGTTTGAAAAGATGCTGTGGAGAGATATATAAGATGATGCACAGCATGTCCTGACCCTGCCTGCTCACGGGGAGTCCTCAGCTCCTGGTATTTACCTGTGCAATTTATTAACCCTGCTACCGGTATACAGCAAACTGGTTTTTATGTGTGCTTGGGAGTTATCCTAGTGGAATACTCTGTGTGCATATCAGCAACGACTGTCCTATGCTCTGTGTGACCTCATTTTATGGCTCCGTGGGATTTTTGGCAGCACGCCGTGCCCCACAGCTCCCAGGGCTGCCCAGGCACGGGGCTGGTGCTGCTGAGCACTGGCCTGGGGCAGCAGCAGTTCAGGCAACCACAGTGGATAATACAAAAGTAAAGCCTGCTTTTTTTTTTGTGCAGACAAGCCAGCCAGTGCACAAGATGCAGGAAAGGGGTTTTGTTTGTCTGTTTTTATCATTTCCATTTGGCCTAAATTTTGGTGGGTTGCAAGTGCTGTTGTGGTAACACTGTGCAAAAATCTTGGGTTTTTTTTTCTTTGGCGTGTTAGCTATGGAAATTTTAGAAATAGCTGCTCTGACGACAGCAAAAAAGCCCCCCAAACTGATGGCCTGCTGGCGTAGCCCTTCCAGCTTTGCAAGAATAAATGAAACCACTCTTTGCAAGAATAAATGCTTGGAAGTCAGTTGTGCTTCCCAGCTTTTGTGTTTTACACCTTGAGCTTCCCGATTTGCCTTGAGCGTGTGTCAAGGCTGTGTTTGCACTGGAAGCCATAGGGATACCCAGATAAAATAGCATCAAAGCATTTGTAGTGTGGGCGCAATATGTTGGCAGAGCTGTAGGGTTTTGGGTTTTTTTTTTTTGACTTGTCTCTCCTCCTCCTCCCCTGGCTGGAAAGCAAACCTGGTAGAGCATCCTTTGCCCCCGCTTCATGGGTGCGGGTGGTGGCACAGCCCTGGCTCCATCCACAGCAGAATCTGGGCTGAAGTACAGCCCTGGGGAGGCCAGGAAAAGAGCTGGACCCCTCCTGCTCCCGTCCCCTCCTGCCCTCCCCGCCCTGATCTGGGGCTGTTTGCACCCGGAGCAGCAGGGAACCAGCAGACACATTCACAACTGTCCCCAAGTTTTCTCTCCTGCCCCTAGTTCAAAGGGCTCCTCTCGTGCCTCCAAGAATTTTGCAGTGAGTGCCGATGCTTTCCACATCAAAGCCCGGCAGCCTTGCATTGTCTGGGGGATGTCGGGCCGAGGCAAATTAAAGAGGCATTGGGAGCTTCAAAATCACCTTTAGCTGGGCAGCGCCTGCATACTCAGCGCTTGAAAAAGGTTAGATATTACAGTGATAGGTAGTAAAGCAAACCCTCTGGGGACTGAAGGCTGGAGCCAACTTTTATTGAGGTCTAGGAAAAAAAATTCTCGCTGGCTTTTGGATTAATGATGAGAAATCTTGAAGTGCTGAGTTCTACACAGAAAGGGACAATTTTGCACTTAAATCATACCGCTAGGAAAGCCAGAAAGGAAAAACCCAGTCCTTTTCATTGTGGTGTTTATTGTAAAATGCAGTCCAAAAGCCTAATTCTTTAGGGATACCTTCAAAATATATGGAGAGAACAGGTTGTGCTAAGCAATAATACAACTTATCAATAAACAATGTTAGGCATAAAGAATTCTGAATTCTTATCTGCTAAGTAAAAATTAAAAAAGCATAGGAATTATAAACTGCTTGATTTCATCCGGTACAAGTACATGAAGTTACTGTCTATTGGGGGCAGGGGTTCTGGTACCAAAATACAAAATTTAAAAAGGAGGGGAGAAAAAAAAAAGGGGGGGAAAAAAGAAAATGAAATCTGTAAACACTGGCTGTAAACTTATCGAAGCCCTCAAAAGGCTGCAGTCTTTGTAATATGCACCACGACACTCCAAAACCCCCTCTCCCATCAGAAAGTGCATCAGTTTTCCACTAGAAATGCTGCCGAGCAGCAGCTGTGCACGGACAGCCCCGGCTGTGGTCCCCGGGGCTGCCAGGATGGAGCCCCCCAGCAGGACCCGCTTTTGGCAGCAGCGTCCATCCCCACCTCGCTTGTCGTGGGGCTGGAGCCCCACCGCTGGCGGTGACACGAGGGGTTGAGCCCTCCTAAAAAGTGAAATTCTTTCCTCTGTCCGATACACAGATAAAGTGACTCCCAACAAGAAAGAAGCTACTGGTAAATGTTGGAGGAAAAACCATAGAAGCAAGAAGGACCGTGGTCCCTCAGCGCCTGCGCCTTGTGCTTCCTCATCTCACAGCATCCCTCCGCAGGAGGCCCCATCGCCTGAGTGGTGCCCGCTCAGCCCTCCGGACCCCGGGGACGCCTCTTCCCACCCAGCTCCACCGGCAGCTGCCGAGCGTGGGGACACCAAAGCGTCCTCCTCGGGCACCACGGCCGTCCTCTATCTCTTATGGCCCTTGTTCCTCCGCTTGATGTGGTTGGGGGCGGCGGCGGCGGTGTCGCGGCGGGCGCAGAAGTGCTTGGCCACCAGCTGCCGGCACTGCTCGCACCGCACCGTGCAGCACCAGTGGAACTTGCAGTTGCAGCTGGCCACCACCTCCGTCCTCCTCTCCTCTACTCGGAGGCCGCACTCGGTGCACAGCCGCCGGCAGCTCCTCTTCTCCCACTGCGAGAGGTTCTTGCCGGTCTGCAGGCACTCGCGGCCCTCGGTGCCGTGGTGGCCCAGGCTGGCGTTCCTCGTGCAGTAGTCGGGGGAGTCCTCCAGGAAGACGAGCTCCGTGGCGTGGACGTGGTGGAAGGTCTCCGCCGTAGCCCCGCGGCTGTCGGCGCTGTTGCCGGCTCTCATCCGCCTCTTGTCCATCTCCAGTTTGTGGGCTTGGTCGTATTTTATCTTCAGGTAGTTCCCAATCTCACGGAACTCAGCGAGCTGGAGCCAGCAGGTCTGGATGCTGCAGCTGCCCGACACCCCATGGCACTTGCAGGCTCGTTTCATCGTGGCTTTCACAGCCTTAGTGGAAAAGGTGGAGAAATTAGGAGCAGCAGAGCATCATAACTTAAATCTCAAAATCAGGCTCTATGGCACTTCTAATTCAGGGTGCAGTGCGTCAGAAGTGGCTCATGCTTGGCGTGACTTCAGGTCCTTCCAAGCCACAAGCTAACGCTCTTATTTCAGTTCCTGGAAAACATCTGTCCTTCTTCACTAACTTAAAGAACAGAGATAACAAGTGGGCACAAACTACTGTCTCCTTGAAAGTGCTGTTTCTCCAGGCCAGGAAAAAAGTGCCTTTGTTGGGTCATGCCCTTCTCACGCCGCTCACCTCGCTCATCACAGCATCGACGCATCATCCCTCTCAGAGGTTTCATTCAAAATGTGTGAAACTACTTCGGAATAATCATACCCAACCTCTCTGCATCTCCTCCAGGCCAAGCACTTCACAGATATTATCTACCTATCTCTCTCTGGTATTTATAAGGTCCCAATCGCTGGTATCTATGTGAGATTAGACACACCCTATGAGATAGGTATGTTAAGTGTTGCCATCCTTGTTTTTACAGACACGGAGGTTTGGCAAGACGCTGAGAGCCTCTGCCGGCCCAGGCGGGGAGCGGGGGGCGAGTCTGGCAGCCAGCTTGCAAGTGGGGCTGGCTCACGCCTGGATTCCCTGGCCAAATAGCTTGGAAATTCATATGGCAAGAAAATAAGGTGTTTCTTGCTTTGTTTTACAGTCCAAAGAAGCACAACGTGAGTATAAAACCTGTGTATTTCTAAGTGGTGTGTGCTTGTAGTTACATTTAATGCATTACACACACCTGCAGCAGCTGGGAGTGGGAACAACTTGCAGTTCCTTGAGTTCAGGTTTAGGGATAGAGTCTGGCTGTATTTTTTTTTCCCTATGCAACGACCGACTACAGGGTCTAGATTGTCCCAGAGAGCTGGACACGGGGACCTGAACAGCCTACCAGACTCTCGGATTTTGTTTTTAATATAAACATTATTATCATTATAATATATTTACTCACAAGTCTCCCAACTTCATTGTTGTGCAGGTTAATCAGTGCGCGGGTATCGTGTCCTGTTTCCAAAGCATCCACAAAGAGCTTGGAAATCCTCTCCCCAAAATCCACGTTGTCGCTGCATCCTCCCCAGACCCAGCCTCGGCCACCTGCAAGACAGACAGACACACGCTAAGTGCAGAACCGCCCCGTTGGGCCAAATTCTGCCCTGAAATCCCGGGGGGGGGCTGCATGCAGGGACGGGGAGATGGTGTCAGCCCGTTTTGGGAGGGAGCTCACCGACGCGGCCGTTCCTGGAGTCGTCGCAGCCGCAGCTCTCGAAGTCGCCCATGCTGCAGTTCCTGGTGAGGGTGTACATGACCCCGGCCGAGCTGATGGCGTGTACAAAGGATGTTTCCCGGGTTGCTGGGGGAGAGGAGAGAAAAAGCTGTCACGTGCAAACATAGACATCAGTCCTGGTTTATTGGGAATGAAGATCTTCCGTGCTGCAAAGGGGCAAGAAGGAAAAAAACCCCAAAACAACAGTTTGTGCAAAAGGTAAAGTGCTACAGAAATTAAGTGCTCATGACCGGAGTCTTTTCAGGCTTCAGCATCAAGGATTTCAGCAATCTGGCATAATATTATGCAGATGTCCGTGCATGGGATGGTGGTTCTTGGCAAGAGTAGGATGTGAAGGCAATGCCTCAGTCCTGCTCTGGCCAAGGTTAGTTGTCACTCCCTTCACCCAGCACTCAGTTCGTCTCTGTCCTTTCCTGCTCGGGGGGTTTGTTCATGCTTTGATCTTGCCTGCTGGGGAAAATTGTCATTGATCTTGTTTTAGTCGGTGGTTGAACCTGTGCTAACAGTTGTCTGCACCCACACTTCTAATTTAGTCTCTTCTTTGGCTTTCCTAACAGATTCAAACAGAGATGCTGCTCTGAGAAAAAAGAATTCTGCTTGCTGAAGTAGAAAGTATCGAAATATATCCACAACTTCATGACGACAGTTTCTCTGTGCATGTCTCTGGTTTCTCCCTTCCTCTCTCCTGCACTTCTTCTCCCCATTGCGAGCTCAGGTGCCTCTCACTCTGCGCTCCCTGGGATGCTGCACACAACGTGGCAGGACCGAGCCCACGGGGCAGCACTGGGGGAAGGATTGAGCTCTAGCCTAGCATGGATAGAGACCCAGAGAGAGCCCAGGATTCCTAAAAAAAAACCAACCCTGTTAGTGCTATTTACTACACTAATTAATACAGATAGAGAAAAACAACTCTGATTTTTGGGACACCGAAGCCCGAAAGGTTGGTTTCATTAGCAGCACCAGCTCTTTCCAGAGCACATCCCAGCTTGTACCCGAAGGCATCCCGGGAGGAGGATGCTGGTGCTGCAGGTAAAGGCTCACTCACCGCTGCGGAGCCGGTTGTGGGTGGAGAGCTGCAGGGCGCTCTCGGGGCAGTTCCAGCGCTCCCACCCGAACTGGAACTTGCACTCCTCCATCCCGCTGTGCGCCCCGGCCGCCACGCTGCTCGAGTATGTCAGGTAAGCCTGGCACGGGAAACAACGGAGTTAAAATCCTCTGTGCTTTACCACTGATCAATGAAAACAGACATAAATGGTTTGCGAGTCCTTTCCCTCATTACTCTGCAGGATTTGGAGCCAATATGCTCTGGGAAATCGGGTTCCTTGGAAAAGTCTTATTTCCCGTTTGCAAAAGAAAATTGCTCTATTTAAATTCCTGATAGTCTCTGTGTTAATTACCTTAGGTCCTGTCATCAGAAAGTTATTCACAGACCTGAAACAAAGAAAAGAAAATGAATCTCACAGTTTAGCACAGGCTGAAGAGCATCGCTGAAAAATATCCTTTCCGCTGAGTTGGTCCCTACCATGCTGCTGCGTGGAGAACGGCACCGTAGACCCCTGCGATGGAGAGGATGAGGAAGGCGCTTCTCTTCATGGCTGTCACAAGGAGCAGGGTTGGATCCCTTTGGCTGCTCTGTAGCTCTCTGCACCACAGGTCCCGAAGCGAGCAGGGCCACCTCCCTCCGCTCCTTCCCAAGGTGAGCTATCAGGATGGAGGAAAGCTGCAGGAACCTACAACCCTGATATTTATAAGGTGAAGTTGTGAATAGTCAAAACCCCCCATTCATTTGCTACCCAATGACTTAATGTGGTAAAAAAGCTCCTGCTCCAATGGGTGACAAGGAACCGCCTAAGGTTGCACTTCAAAAGGTGGCGCGGTGTCCCTGGGAGCGGGATGGTCTGAAGGAGAGCAAACTTCCCTAACAATGGGAAACTTTTAACTCTCTTCCCCACTGCCAGCCATCCCTTTCTCTTGGCCTCGAGTCCGCTTGCTTTCTCCTTTTCATCCTCTGCTTGCCAGCAGAGGCTCAGTCCCTGCGTCCCTCTGAAATAACAAGCTGATGCATTTCTATAGTTCCCCTGCTATCTGCCTGCTCCCTCCTACGAGAACTCCCTCAGGGGTTTTAACAACCGTTCTGTAAAGATCTATAGGGGATAGACCTCCCAGGCCTTCTTGATTTGAAGAGATGTGTTTAACGGCGGGGCTTTTTACCCTCCTTGCCTCTTTATGATGAAAGTTTCTGCATTTCCATCCTGATAACAGCGTGCACGACTCGGGAGTGTTTGGAAATCTCTCTAATTTACGCGGCTGCAGCTTGGGAACACTGTGTGAATCATTTATGTGGTTTGCTCCATGCTCCAACGCTGTAATTAGGGGAACAGTTTTCTGGGGTTAGTAATTTCCCTATGGTGAAGGCTGCCGCAGCAGAAGCACGGCTGCTCGCTGGCTCTGCAGGCAGGAGCGCTGCCCGCACCCCCCGAGCAGAGCGAGGGGCCTCCACCGCTGCCGAGCCATCGGCTGCGCTCAGGAAAGGAAAATCCTTATCAGAGGAAACCCAAAAAAGCCTCTTAATAGTTATGGCCAGTGTCATTAAGGGCTGTAATGCTGTGGACAGAGCAACAGCGAGATGGTGTCTGTGGAAACTTCTTGGCCTGTTTTCTTGTGGCTGAACGGTCCCAACCGGGGGCTGGCTCACCCTGGGCAGGGATGCTCTCTGCTGAGTGGGCAGTGTGGGTGCTTAGCCTGAAAGCAGCGTGTGCCGTGCCATGCTGTGCCGTGCCAGCAGTGCCAAGCAGCCCCCCAGCATGCGGGTGCAGCGTCTGGCCCGACGGCAGGGCAGTGCTGCCGCCCTCCTCCTCCGCTCAGCTCCCCGGCTGACCCCAGGGTCCACCCCTCTCCTGGTGTCACTGCAAGGGGACTCCCGAAGGGGTTCAAGGGAAGGGGGCTGTGCCACGAGCAAAAGGGCCCACACGGGGATAAACCCCATCTTTGCCCCCCGGGTGGGCAGCTGCAGCAAGCGGCACTCTGGTCAGGCAGGAGGTTGCACCTTGAAGACACTTGTGAAGGACTTTGCTGTCTTGCCATGAAATGGGTGAGAGTGTTGCCAAGGCAGCAACCTGCCCTGTGGTTGTACGGGCCGCAGCACCGGGTGTCTGAAGCTCAGGTCTGTCGGTTCAGGTCCCGGGCGCCTTGGGGGGCTGTTCCTCCTCTCCCTCCCTCCCAGGAGCAGGCAGATGAGCACCTCTGGCTGCAGAAAGCACGGGGGTTCTCCCTGACCTGCTCTCTGTCAGCACGTTAGTGAGCGAGAGGAGAACCCTCTCCCTCCAGACCCTGCAGAAGTGAAACCTCCAGTCAGTTGGGCAAAGCCGCAAAAAACTGTTTGCAGCCAGAGGATTAAAATTGCAGATTGGTCGAAAAGCAAGGATGCAAAATACCTTCCAAGTGAGCACAAAGCTGGTGTAGTTCCGCCAACATGGCAAAACCCTCTGTGAGTCAGCATTTTAATCACTACCATCCCGAACAGATCCTACTTGTTAGAGCTGTCAAAGGACAATTACTGGGAATAAAGTATTTCCCATGTATCAGTGAAGTTCATTGATTAAAGCCCTTGCATATGGTTTGGAAATCTGCCGTGCATTTTCTATACGCACACAGGTAATTTGGGGGTTTGTGTCTGGCTGTCCCTGGGGGCATATTGATTTTTTTTTTTTCTTTTTTTCTTGTCTGAGGGATCTCATACAGCTAAAAAAATGTTGGCATGTCTGCTATGTCAGTTCACACATGATATTCCTATCACACGCCAAAGGAATAACAGCGTCTCTGGGCGTGAAGCTCTGCCGCGAGCAGCCGCGGCAGTTGGCAGGATCACACAGCTATTTGCCTGGGCTATTAAAAATGTCCTTTCCAATTAAAGTCACAGGGATCTTAAAAGTCACTTGTAACATTGTCACTTACGCTAGTTGTCAGCAAACAAAGCAGCGTGCTGGGACAAGCCTTCCTGCGCGGCCGCAGGTTTTTTCTGCATTTCCAGCTGGGTCCTGGTGAGCAGAAGCCAGCGCTTCTGTGGGGTCATCCAGCCCGGCAGACCTGTGGGACTGCAACAATCCCAGGCATATCTCTGCTGGGTATTCCCACCTTAGGCAAAATCAGACTTTGGTCTTGCTGTGTTAATAAATTTTACACTTATAGAACTCTTCATGCAATGTTCTTGCAGTAAAGAGACCAAATATAGGTGCTCTGTCGGCACTTGGGTAAACTGAGGCACAGAGAGGGGTGGTCTTGAGGTCTCAGGGCAAACCAGTGGCAGAGCTGGACTGGGTGTAGCTGTTTGGAAGCTGATTTTGGTGCTTTGCTCTGTGCATCACTGGGCACGGGTGGGCGAAGCCCGGCCGGGCTCCAGAGGGCTGCAGGGTTGGGTGCTCCCCCACCACCCATGAGAGAAGCCCGCTGGTCGCAGCCTGGGTCGCCTGAGCCGTAGGTGCCATCTGTGAAATGATGCTGAAGGAGTTTGTCTTTGGTTTTCCCACTGCCTAGAAACTTGCTTTAGGTTTGGTCTTTCAGAAAAAAAAAAAGAAAGAAAGGAAAAGGGAAGGAAAACTCTGTTGACTAGATACTAGGAAGGATTTCTGTGCAGAAGGGGCTGTTGGGCGTTGGAATGGGCTGCCCAGGGCAGGGGGGGAGTCCCCATCCCTGGAGGGGTTGAAGAGTCGGGCTGAGCCAGCGCTGAGGGATCTGGGGGAGCTGGGAACGGTCAATGCTAGGTTAACAGTTGGACTAGATAATCTTCAAGGTCCTTTCCAGCCGAGGTGATTCTGTGAATTTACCTGGTTATGCGGAAAATGAGCTGTTGGTCATTCTGGGCAGCCTCGGACCTCAAAGTCAACCGTCAGCCGCCTGGCGTGGTGGCACCACGGGAGTTTGCGTTGGCTCCACGTGCTGTTGCAGGGCAGGCTGTTTGGAAAGTGGGGTCCTGAGTGTCAGCTGGAGCCCCTTGGCTTTGCTGATAAAATGTGGATGTTTGTTTCTTATTTTCTTGCTACGTGACCAAACAGGATGATCCAAATCCTAAAATATTTTGGTATCTGCCCCCAGTCAAGAGACATTAATAGTCTATACAGCCCCACGCACCCATAAAACCCTCTTCAGAGCAGACTATGTGTTTTAAAGGAAGGCAGACACGAGATAAATCAGTTTATGTAAGTGCCACACGCTCTGCCAGGTGGCAGGTCCTGTGGTGACGGGCTCTCGGCTTGTCGGGACAGCGAGCCCCATGGCTGTGGACAACAGGAAAATAAAGCACAGACCACTTGCTAAATTGCCCTCGGCAGGTGACACATTCAGACCCCTAGCGTCAAATCCTGCATTGCTGGCTTCATTACAATAAAAATCCACCTGGGTAATTAGAAAGCCACCCCCTCGCTGGCGAGGTGGAGGGTGTTTTATGGTGCTCTCCCACACCGCTCGCCCCGGGAAGCCACCCGAGCCCCCCGCGGGTGACGCCGTGTCCTTGGTCTGTACACAGCCAGCTGCTCAGCAAAGGGGACTTGTCCCTTTGCTCCAAAATGCTCCGTCGCAGAGGGCGGCAGCTGCAGGACTGTCCTCCTGCATGCTCAGCTCTATGCAAGAATTGCTTTATTTTTCCAGTCTTCCCAACTTTCTCGATTTGGGAAGGATATATCCCCGTTGCTCTGCCTGCTGCACAGTCCCTGGGGGGCTGCTGCTGGTCCCAGCAGGAGCAAACACCAGCAGGACCCGAGCCTGGACCTGGCAGTGCTGGTGGGAGTTTTGCCTGTATGATGAATGTGTTTTGATTAATGAATGGTAATTGAGGATGGAGGTGAAACTGAAATCAGGTTTTATGCCACGCCTGCCCCACAGGCTTAGTCCTCTTCATTCCTATTTTGGCACATAGTTAGAAGTGGCCCAATGTTTACTGAAAAAAAAGGTTAAAATGTCCAGCAGTGCCAGCTTAGGGTGTGCTTTTTTATTGAAAAAATCATCCTGAGAAGTTTTGGTCTCCTGTCTGCCCACAGAACTTTGTGTCCCCCCTCAGCTGTACCAGTGCAACCAGTTTCTCTCTTACTTTTAATCCTGATTCCCAACACAGCCTCCTGTGCCGCGTGATGGGGTGAGCAGTGAACTTCATCAGAGAGGCCAGGAATGAGCAAGTCCGAGGTAAGAGGCTCTGCTACTGAAGGAGACACATCCTGGAGTAGAATACAGGACCATCAGGATGCTGAAAGCAGGATCACAGGAGGTTCTGGGTTGCAGTTTGGCCTTTATGTCTTGGTTTCAGGAAGCAAAATATTTGGTTTCGGAACTAAATTCTGATCGTATCAGCCACAAGCTGGGTGGGGACACGGAGGCTTCCCAGCAATGGCTCTCAAGGTGGTTTGGGAAGAGCGTAATGTCCCGATGGGGTCATAGAAATGGCCCTGGGCCTGTGTGCCCAGGATGTTGGATCTATGCTAGGAATGAGAAGATGGAGCAAATGAGGGAGGAAAAACCTCTTTTTTTTTTTTTTTTTTTTTTTTTTTTTTTTTTTTTTTTCCATCAGCAAGAGGCAGAGCAAGGGGCTCAAGGGGGAGATTTCATTTGCTGTGGGTTCATCAGGCGTCAGGAATGAGATGGGTGAGCATGTCCCTGCCACGGTTGGGGGGGACAGGCTGGGTGGCGGATTGGGGCTCCCTCCGCCCCGACTAACAGCTCCTCTGCTCGTGGGGACCTGGCACCCGGGCG